CCCGCGGCTCCGCCCGGCCGCCTCACTTCGCCCCAGGCCGTCTTCGACCGTGTTGCGCCGACTCCGCCCGCCAGTGCGTCCGCGGGCCAGCGTCCGCCCTGCCCGCGTGGCTGCGCGCCTCGGCCGCCCCGCCTCGCCTCAGCCCCGTGCGGGCTGGCTCCGACCATGCCGCGCCGGCTTCGGCCCTGTCCCGGCCTCCCGCGCCGACTACCGGGTCACGGTGCTTCGGCCGGCCGCCCTGCGCCGCCTTGGCCGGCTCCCGCCTGGCGTCACCTTGGCCGACTCACTGCTCCAACCAACATCCACGCGCGCGGACGGCTCGCCGCTCCAGCCGGCGTCCGCGTGCCCGTCCACCTCCCGCCTCGCGTCGACTGGCGCCCTCGCAGGGCCGGCTGCCCAAGAAGAGAAAGAAGAAACGGGGCCGGGTAGAAAAGTCAAAGGGCCAATTGCCCATCGCTGAAGAAAAAAAAAGAGAGAAGAAAAGAAGGAGAGTGTGCGCGGCCGAGTGCCCAAGCCGGCTAAGAAAGAGGTGGCCGAGTGCTGGAAAAAAAATCGCGTCCGGCTGAGAAAGTGGCCAGGTGCTGAGAAAAAAAAAATGTGCCCGTCCGGCTACCAGCAGTCGGCGGACGAAGAGAAAAGAGAGGAAGACAAAGTAGTTACCGGGAGATCCGGCCAGCAGTCAGCCCGAATCTCGGGGGCTACACCCAGCGGGTGCACTGGCGCGCCCCCGTGAAGAATGCAGACAAGAGAAGAGTTTTGTCCGGCTGCCAGCAGCCGGCAGAAGAGAAAAAGAAGAAGAAGGGCGTTGCAAGACGCCTCGCCGCCTGGCCGGTCGAGCCTGACCGGCCGGGGCCCCGCTTCGAGCACCTGGGGGCTCGAAGGCCACACCCAGCGGGTGCGCCGGCGCGCTCCGCAAGCGCCGAGCCGCGCCGGCTGTCTTAGGCAAACTCCACCTCGGCTACACGAAAATCAATGTGAGCTCCTCACCTGCATATTTTTGCATCTCGCAAGCACGGATAACCCCGAGCGATGCTCGGGGAACTATCT